GTTTTAGTTGAATTTATGAACTGTTACAATTGACCCCGTAAGTGGGGACAATTGTAACAAGTGCACGACTGTCAAAAATTGTTAATAACTAATATAATAACATTTAAAATAAGGTATTTATTTTTCTTTCTAGTAGAGAATAGTCTACTTTACTCGTCTGTCAATTAATACTAATAATATATTGGATTTTTTGTTAGTTAAAAATAGTTAAGTAAAAAATGTTACAATTGACTCCACTCTCCCCTACTCTTTCTTATGTAAGTTTAATGCTGAATCGAATGAAATCAATTGCAAATAAATTAATTTATTGTTTAAAAGTTATATGCTTTTTTTTTTTTTTAATTTCGCACTATGAGATACGTTTTTATGTAATTAAGCAAATCATTGTAGCAATTAACAGCTCTGCTGGAAAGTTATAAGTTACATAGGAAATATTTTGCTCGAAATCTTTTAAAAGCATTATTTCAAATCGTTCTCTCTTAGACATTTTCCTCTCATAAAATTGCTCACAACTTTAAAACAAATGCTCCTATCACCTTGTGCTTAGTTTTATTCGAATAGGTGTAAAAAATGCATAAAAATTAATACCTAATTTTAAAATTTTATCTTATTAAACGATTGTTGATTCTTGATTACATTGATTAAAATAACTATTTTTTGGGGAAACTCTGATGTGATTGACAATAACGGAAGTCCATTTCGGAATCAGCATCAAAAATTCATCGAACATCGAACAACTTACGTTCATAAGAAACAACCTATCCAACGGTCAAAAAATAAACTTGAGGTTGATTTATAATAACTTGATGTGTAAAATGACGCCCCTTAAGTAGATAAAAAAATACCTCTACAAGCACAAAAGCATATAGTACTTGAGATTGAAATATAATAACCTGAGGTAGAACATAAAACACCCCACTACAGTAAAAAATTACCTTTACAACTGTGAAAAAATACAACTTGAGGTAGATCCAGAATAACCTGAAGTGCTAAATGAAACACCTTAGGTTGTTTTTGTAATTACTTGTACAGATGTAAAAAAAAAATTATATACTTCTGGTTGATAAGTAATAACCTAAGGTTGAAACCCTTAACCCTTTCGCGCCGACTGTCACAAAAAATGTAAGATGAAACACCTGAGGTTGATACATAGATACCACTGGAGGTATATTTAAAGTACATATATTAGAGAAAAATGTTGAGGTACTCGTTTACACCCTTTTCAACCTACGACGTATTTAAAAAAAACAACCTCGTTAAATGCCTTTGAAAAATACCTCATTTAAACCACAATTTTTCCGTAAGGGAAGACCTTGTTATATCTCATACTTATGCACAAACTCACAATACAAATCGGATGAACGAAAGTCTCTTCTCATAATAATAAAAGGTCACTCGAATACGATCGCGCACTACAAAGTTACATATTTTGTCGATTTGTTTTCATGAGGGTAAATCTTATGAATTTTTCCAATTTATATCCATGTCTCATAGAACAACGCTATTACCGTGCACATTTCAGTGTAGGCTGAACTGTTGCCGCCCACTCTGGACTCAGGAGTGGGCGGTCTAGACGAAGTGCTACGATCGCATTCGGGCAACCTCAGTAAATGTTAATTATGTTAGCATTTATAAACCTTTAAAATAAATGATAATAATATGCTGGTACCATATAAAAGAAAAGGCATCTATTATTTTCTGGTGTTGGGGTATACTTCACGCTTGAATCAATGCACCTTGCTCCGAAATCAACTTGTTCGTCTTTGAAAATGAAAACCTTGTTAGCAAACTTTTATCATTAAAAATCTTCAGCAAGTATTTGGCATTTTTGTATATAGTATGTTGAAATTGCATATAAGTTGAAATTGCATGTATGTTGTTTTGTATGTATGTTGATTGAGCAAAATCACTTTCAATCGAGTTTCCTAAACCCAAAGAGAAAAACTATTTAACAAACAACTTAAAATGAATCTAAAACGAAATAAATATAATTACTTAACGTGAAACTAACTATTCAACACTGCACTTAAATTTTTGGTTAAGACAACCTAACCAAATGGAAAATAATTATAAAATTGCCAATAGATAGAAAATACCCGAGTTTATGGTGCCATGCAAGAGAAATACATATATTGATAATTGTTTGAACAATAATTTGAATTTTTATAACTTTGTGTTCTATAAATCACTAATTCTAACTACGCTGAGCTGCATATATTAACAACAATGTATATACAACTCACATTTCTTGACAGCCAACATTTTTAAAAATTCTGAAAAAAATAACAGCAATTAAAAGAATAATAGAAGTTACCAATTTTTTTTCTTTTCTAAAAGAAAAAAAAATACAGGAAAGGAAATAGTTGTAGGAAAATGCAGAAAAGCTTGACAATTTTTAAATACAATTTTAAAAATCCCATTGAAAAATAAACTTTTTTTCTCTTTTTTAATTTCTATCCTCTCTTATTTTGTGGATAGAAAGTTAAAGATTGAAATCGAAAATATATTAATAATAGAAAAAAATTCAATTTTTCACATTGTTATCCTTCTGTAATCGTTCTTATCGCTGTAAAAAAAAAAAAAAAAAAAAAAATTTCCCACCGAAAAAAAAATTCTAATTTTATATCTTTATTTATCGTCTTCAACGAAATAAATAATTGCTTCGTACAATTTCACAATCAATATTATTTGATATACCCTTTATCTTTTACTTGAAACAGCAAGATCTCGTGTTTATAGTATTTATATCTGAATGAATGCGTATGGTAACCCTTAAAGCACTCGTGCTAACCGAATAGTATAAGCATGTGCTTAACCCATCAATGCCTTGCCACAAAAACTGATTTCGAAATCAGTTTTTGTACAACGATCGTTGTTAAAAAAACACCTCTATTAATAATTTAGTGTTTCTATGTTTATACTAAGTGTATATTTCCTTCCGTTACCTAACACTCTAATTTTAAAAAAGATGTTGACTCCGAATCCAAGTTAAAATATAAGATTTATATTAATATATTAGGGTGAGCAGAGTTATTATTGGTTTAGCAAAATAAATTCTACTAATGAAACTCTTGTGCAAACACTAGTTTATTCTTTTCTGAAAAAAAAAAAATTTACCATCCCTTTTGCAAGGACGCTAGGCACAACTGGGTTAAACTATAGAACTGTTTCTCAATACAGATACCAGACTAAAAAGTATGATTAAAAATATGGAACGAAGATAAAACCAAGAGGCTAACTTCTCTCGCAATTAGCAGAAGATTTTTATCAGACAATGGCAAAACTTATATTTTAATATTGTATTTTTGATCTAGTGAATGTGATTTTAAACAATTTGGCTACCACAGTCCATTAATGTTATAATTTAAACTAAACTACAAAACTGTTCTAAAAACAATTTGCTTGTGTGAAGTGCAAACGAAATTAAATTATATCTGCTTATTTTAATTTTCATTTCACTCACTCTGCAAAAACTGGGCGTTACTTTTCATAATTTCCCATATGATGGGCGGTTTTTGATTTCTAACGCCTTTATTATAAAGAAAATTAAAAAAGGAGCTAAATTTTCAAAAGTTTTAAAAATAAGATTCATGTAAATGAAGTGTATGAATGATGATTATAGTAATCGTTTTTCAATCATTTATTTTAATAAAAATATTAAACAAATACATCCCTTCCTAGCTCAAAAATTGTCATCAAATATAATTGATGACATATATTTGATGAAATATAATTGAATAAAAAATGTCAAATTATAATTTAAATTTGGCTTTCAACAACAACAAAAAAAAACAGTTTTCGTTTTACTTCCAGATTTACATGTTTTGTTTCACAGACTTAATATGCTAATATATAATTGAAGCAATATTCCAGATATTTTGGAAATAATTTAGTTTAAGACAGGCGTTAAAAAATTTTTATCAGGTTTTATGTGGCTTTAGGGGAAAATTTTTTAACATCTTGTTTTTAATTTCATCATATTCGGCAGCTTTTTTGGATTTAAGTTTCTTTGACAAGTATTTAATTTGTTTCTTCTCAGATTTGTTTTTTAAATATGTTCACATTAGCTGTGGGTTCGCATGTATTGCCGATTCTCTTTGCCAGCGGTTCTCACTCGCACGCGAAAATAAACAATGCTTTAAAAAAAGTTTGTCTAAAGTAAGAACTCCCCAAGCCATTCGTCTGGACCAGTGGGGGTGACTATGGTAACGTGTTATAATTATTTCAAGTAGGGGTGTAGAGTCACTGGCTTTGGCTGGGGTCGATAAGAGAAAGAGATTATTTTTCTATTCAGTCTATTGCGTTAACCCTAGAGGAAAGAGAAGTTATCTCTCTGAAATGCGCTATTATTGTTTCCATAGCAGCAGACAGTCTCAGACTTTGAAGCGGGGGGTGTTGTTACAGTAGACAAACTATACCTCACAGCCGGAAATGTTGATGGGTGGTTAGGGAGCTTGATTTAAGTTGTGGTAGAGTAGTGCAAGCATCCACATGTATTTACATCTGCATATATTTTGCACATCTTTAGACCTGTGCATCAAGAGCTACAGAGAGCGGATCAAGTTAAAGTTAAAATACACCTGTATTATCTTCGAAAAGGGTCATTTTCACTGAATGCATGCAGCGCACCTCCGATCGTGGTCGTCATAAATTGCGTGCAGTGTAAACGCAATGTTGAACATCATGAAATTGGAATCAATGAGAGTAGTCCCGAATGCTCAGATTTGATTGATTTATTGAAATTACATATATTTGCTGACTTGTGTGCTCAATATATAGGCTTATAAGTCATTGTCAAATAGAAAATACAGATTGAACAATTCAGAGAAAGACATCACAAAGAATACATCCAGGGTTACGGCGGGATTCGAACCCGCTACCTCCACACTTAACAGAGCGTTTGGACCGGCGATACCGCTCGGCCAGGGAGGCCCCCCGAATGCTCAGTATCTGATTCGTGTATTTCAATTTGTATGCGAAAAAACGCATTTTTTGTAGATAGTGTAAGTAAACCGTTAGTACTTGAATCGAAACTTAGCTGGAACCGTGTAAAAAAGGTTTGATTTTTTTTATTTATTTACAATTATTAGAAAAATTGAAGAAATTCGATATTTTCATATTGATCAATATAAATTTATTATTCCTTATTTGTGCATATTTTTACTTATCTTCAAAAATAGTTATTTGAAAAACGAAATAATATACTAGAGCCTACATGTTGCTCTGTTCTCCATGTTTTAAACTGGTAAAATTATTTAAATTACTTGAAATATGCTTCTATGTATTGGTTAATATTTCAGCTTTTTTTCTATTGCACTTACAATATGACTTTTTAATCCTATATTTGAAGTGAAGCATTTATTTGTTAAAAGATAATTATCTCTTCGATATTCCCTGCGTCTGGGAAAACTTACCGGTCTGTGACGCAGTTTCTCAAATAATAAAAGGAGTTTCATTTGCTTTCTTTTTGTGCAATTTTTCCTCTTACTAAAATTCTTCTTACTATAATTAATATTTTTATAAACAATATTAGTAAAATATGCATTACTTTCAAACGCGATGTAATAATTCTACATAATATACCTATAATAGGATCATAGTATATATGGGGATATATATTTATATTTTAATATTATAAAGTCGTTTTGGTAGATTTCTACTCAATATGAGTGGTACTTCTGAATTAACAGTTGCAAGGATGTTCAACGCTTTTTTTTTAATTTTATTAAGTTTTATGCGTTTATAAAATAAATGAAATAAAAGAATTTTTAAAAAAATTTGTGACATTTTTCGGTAAATTGTTGCTTTCACCCAACTTTCCAAAAAGTACCTAAGTCATAGCGGTTTTTGGGCTTAGATAAAATGAAAAACTTTTTGCAAACACAAAATCTCTCTATATTATTTCATAACCATCGTTGAACGGCCGACCCGATTTTAGGTTTACGACTACTTATGCTCAACTTCATAGCCTTGTAATTTTGAACCCAATTCAGAAGACAAGGAAGCTCCTGGATCATGTATTGAGAGAAATTAGCCTTTAAGGAGAAGTTTTTGATGGAACTAACCTGCATTTGCGTTACTTGGTGAAGAAAACAACGAAAACCTCCCGTGGTTAGATAAGTGTAGGCCGGATGCGGAATTTTCATCAACCAGCCATCGCTGGGATTCGAAATATATTTTAAAATGCTCTAAAGGAATTTAAAAGCTTATCTAAAGGTATTTTATGAATCTCCTATACTTTGGTATAATATGGTGTTTGAAGATTTACATGTCAGTACCTTTGTCTAATGAAGGCTAATTTATGCCGAAAACTGGAAAGTGGCATGCAAGAAACTGAAGATGGAAAAAAAAATGCACAAAGGGACAATTAGTATATAATTAAGTTTATTTCAAGTGTAAGATTGGATCAATGTAATTTAACTTTTAGGCTATTGGAGTTAGGTGGGTGGTCTTGTAAAAATATCCCTGAAAGTTGGTTTAGGCTTATTGAAATCACAAATGAAAATTCATAACAGTTGTTGAAAAAATAATTATTCTAAATTAAACGAATTTTGGAAAACAAATAGAATATTAAAATAAGATGTAATTTTTTTGTGGAAATATGCCAATATTATTTCTGTAATAATAAAAAAGAATTTCTTTCTTATTTAATAATGTTATCTTGCAGATGATGTGATAAATTGTAAGTTTAAGTGTCTGGTTTTTCTTTCAGATTTTTTGAGCATCAACTATTGACTTCTAGTATAGAAATAAATCTATGCTGATTATTAAGAACTTAATCGATAAAAATTTGCCAGAGGTTTCTGTGAACCATTTGTTAAAATTATACCTACGATTGTTAAATAAATATGTTCTGTTGTATTTGGAGAAAGTTTTGAAAAAGTTAAGAGACAGAAAGAAAAAAAAAGCTTAACTCTCTTAGGTCTACATAAATTAGTATGTATACATTAAAAAACTGAAAAGGATACTTTTAAAAGACAAAATAAAATGAAAAAAAAAAGTTATTTGACCTTGCACTAATTTTTATTCTTTTTATCTGGTTGCTGAAAAATATGGTATAAATAACTGTTTTTGACCTAAATTTTTTAAAGGCAACTGTTACTCTATAAATGTTCCAGTCCTCCTCTAAAAAGGTAATTTTCAAAAATATGTGTGATGTTTTGAATACTGTCTTATTTGTGGTAAAACTTAAAGCATTTCAATCAATAAAGTTGTGAGTACAATTGGTACAGTGAGTGCAATTAGTACAGATGATCCTTGTAGTCAAGTTTTAGAGCTGGTGCTGAACCAAGGTTTATTTGTAGCAGAATCACTGGTTTTCTAAATCTGAAATTTTCCACTCCCTTATGACCCCTACAATCTTCAAAAACAAATTATTAATATAATTATTACTTCTGTTTTTTTTATTTTTATTTATTTGAATAAACCTAGCATGAATATTAGGTACTATTAAATTTTTTGTGTTTGAATGCTTTTTTTCCCCTTGATGTTTTTGTTATGAAGTTTTTAATATTAGAAATTTAAAAATTCTAGAATATCAGTGAAAAATGCAGATATTTCTATTTCATATGACAATCACTGAAAATTATGCAAGTATTTTACATACCATGCAGGCACGGCTGTGCTTAAGAAGAGGGGGGGACTTGACCACAATTCATTACAAAAGATATAGTGCTTAGTAATTAGTTTTTATAGTTTTTATTTTATTTTTATTTCAAATGGCTGGGGCTTCCATGAACAAATTACAGGGCAAATACAGAACAAAAACAAATTCTAGTTAAGTATAGCTCTCCATGGAGGCTATACTTCTAGTTTTTATAGTAAAATAGCAGGAAATTTCGTTATCTATTTAAAAACTGCACTTTCGTATAAGGGTCTTAAATTTCGCAATATATGAAAATGAGGCTTTTGAAACCAAAGGAGCTTGCTATAAATTTTATCCTGTGGTCCATAAAACCTTTGTACAGTCTTAAATGTAGTTATCTTCTTCTTCCGCTGCACTGCAGATTTAGTTGGCTCAGCATAGGCACATATCAGAAGGTGTAGTACCGATCTTACTCCAAATGCAGAGGCTGTCGAAACGGAACAGTGCTACTATTTAACTAAACCCTTATTGTTTGTTAGGGTATGAATCTTTAGAAGACGTATAATAAGCTGGACTAAAAGTGTTTTTTATATAATTGTTACGCAGTGTTCTTCCTAAGCATTTTTAAAAGGGTGAACCCCCCTGCCTGCCCTTTAATATGCCCTGTTTGCTTTTTTTTTTTCAAAAATAAGCTGCCATCCATTAAAAATACTGCTTTTTATTTGTACTCCAATTAAAAATAATAATACTCTGTTTAAATACTAATTACACACTGGTAAAATTATCTGTGTTTAATTTAAATCTGATTTCTATTACAAATATTTATCTTGTCAGGGTATATTCAAGGGTATATTAATAAATTTTTTAGATGATTTTAAATTTTAAGATTATTTTTAAATAACTTTTTTTTTAAAGAAAAAAGTCATCTTTAAATGTTTATTACCTCATAATTTTCAGTTTAAATTATAGAAAAAAGCTTTCAAGTTAATTTTCAATATCTTTTCCAGTTTATTATTTATCTATTAATTAATTAATAAATTTTTTTTGTTTGAAATTTTTTTAATTGCTTTTTATAAAAATAAATTTGTAAATGTTTTTTTTTTATTTTTCTCCGATTTTGATAAAGAATAAGAATTACTTTTTGAAACACACACATAAAACAGTACAAGAGGTTATTGTTAATTATTATATGATATTAAGCATTTGGATAAATTTTTATGGTGTTAAGTGACTGCTCTTTCAAACCGTAAAGCGCCCTTTTCTGTGAGAAAGTGCCTGCCTTTTTTTATTCCTAGGGAAAACTCTGTGTTATGACAAATTAATAAGATTAATTTAAAAACAAAAGAACATTCGAGAGTTGACATTGTAAAAATACTTCTCTACATCGACACGATGAATTATTTAACATCACACCAATGCGGTAAATCCTTCTTTTCTTCTTGACTAGTAAAGTGTAATTCGAAGTTTGCACGCTAGAAAACGGAACTAATTTTGACCTAATCGACGTACCCCTTCTCATCCACTCTTCCCTTCATAATAAATATGCATAAAAAATAGGCACAGTAAAAAAAAAAAAAAAATGTTAGACATCTCCTATTTCCTTTTTAGTTTTGGAAACTATTACTATTTATTTAATTTTTTTTTTTAAGTTTAGTTTATTAGTTTTAATTTGCATGGTGTTTTATTTTTCTCTTTCTAAAGAAGCATCTGATATTATTTCAGGAATAATTTTGACAACTTTCTTTCAAGAGATCTCTTGAGTATATAAAGTAAGTTTTTAAATTTTTTTTTATTTTTCAAGCATGATGACTTTTAAATTTTATAATTTTTTTTTTCATCACACAAAAATTTTTAATTTTCAATAAAGATATATTTTTTGACTATCGGCAATGACATTTCTTTTTTATTTTAATAAGAGATACCAAGAAGTGCTTGAAATTTCTACTGTCCTAATTAAATTCTTGTTTATAATGATGTAGCAAACAGTTTTCACATAATTTGCATTTTATATACAGTCTGTGTTCTTTCCTATCATTATAAATACCAATTCATAATGTCTCGTAGCTATTCCATAGATCCAATGTTATTTTAATGCCCATTAAAATGTCTGAACTGAACCCTTCATTCCAATATAGCAACTGAGCTTTAATTTCATATTTTTTTGCTATCATAGAAAATCAGTTTGAAAGTAAGTTTCAAGCATTTTAAAATGCTTTCAAAACAAAATATTTTCATTCTGGTCAAATGGTGAATGAAATACGGTTTACTTCCCATTGATAATCAAGAGTGAATAATGTAATTGCAAAGCCTTATTCATGAAGTTCAAAAGATGCGATTCTTATAATTGTGAATTTCTTTTCAGAAGATCCATTAAATTTATCAATCATATACATATATCATACTTTTCTCTTTTAAAAATTTTATTCTTCTGTTCTTTATTATCTAATAATAATTTTAGTTAGGGTGAGGTTCTTAAACAAAGTGATATAAATTTGTTAGAATTTCATTTCTTAAGCTAACTTCTTATTAACAGTATTCTTTCTTATTAACTGTATTATTATTATTTGTTATAACTTTATTTCTGTTATACTATTAAAAAAGTAATGCATGTTTCCGAATATAAATCAAGAATTTTTCAAGAATCGAGAATCGTTCTCTGGTTCAGGTCAAAATTACGATTTGTGGATGAGTGGGTGTGGCAGAAATCGAATTCTTGGCCATAGATGGAGCCACTAGAAAACAAGAAAAATCGATAACCTCTGTCGATAACATGGCTGAAGACAACAACAACTTCTTGGGTTTTAAAATAAGCTTTACGATTCTAACATAAGCAACAATTCTTATAAATTTTTATCTGTCGATGATCGATCGAAGTGAATCGATTGAAGTTCAATCATTTATTAATTCCCTTTTATTTGAAAATCTTCATTTTCGTAATATAATGCTTTTTTCTACTTTTCAGTAAGTCATGGACAGTCCTCAGATTTCAAGATCTGGAAGAGTTCTTAAAAAATCTGCAAAGGTGAAAGAAATGGAAGATTTTGACATTAATGATTTGGACATGCAAGGGAAACCACGCAAAAAAAGTAGGACATCTGACGAATTTGATGAGTTTGACGATAAAAGAGTTGCGCCCATAAAAATTCCAAAAATCTCGCTTAATTTATCTCAAGGAAAGAGACCTCCTCAGACTATAACCAAGCTTCCTCAAGGAGCTGCCATGAAACCAAAGCCAGATCAGAGGAGATTTTATGATGATTCTTCTGCTGATGGATCTAAAGAATCTGGTATTTTAGTTTTGACTAAATCTTTTTGTGTAAAACTTCTTCGGGTGTATGGGCTATAATACTGTATTTTTAAGCTCTGTTTAGTTAGATTTTGTTTTTCCCCCCTAATCTTATTTTCTTTTACATGGGAATTTTCTTTAATTTGTGTTTACAGTGCAATTGCTACTGATAATCTTAATGAGAAAACTTGCCTCTAAAAGATTGAAATTACTATGCAAAACTTTTAGGATAATTTCAGTATTATATTTTGAAATTACGTTCCTATCTATAAAAAAATCAATTAAAAAAAATTGTTTCAGATTCTAGCTCAGTATCAAGTGAATCCTCGTCGTCGTCCTCATCTTCAGATGATTCTGATAATGATGAAAATGATTCTCGTCAGTGGTATTCTAATGTTGATAAAGGTACTGTGATGCAGAATATTCAACATATACCAACACAGCAAGAAAAAGTAGTCGTTGAATCTTACAGACAGGTAATTTTTTTGTTACTGATTTAATCTTATATAAAAGGAATCTTTTATCTGAAAGCACTATATTTGCTGATTTAATATTACTTCTTTATGAAATGAAGGTTTCCCCCCCCCACATAAATGAAATTTACTGTGTAAGTAATAATTCTTTTTTATCGCAATTTCTCTTCTTTTTTTTTCTTGTTAAAAGGTTAACTAGCTGCGTCACAAAATGAAAATTATACTAGTTTTTCATTGCAATGTCCCTATTACAGTTAAGTTACTATAAATCTATTTTAAACTTCACAGTGATAATTAAAATTCCCAACATTGATTCAAATTTTGTCTTTGTTTCATGAAAATTTGATCATACCAAGATTCAGCTCTTTCACAGTGTTTAATGAATTAAGCAGTACAGAGAGCACTTTCCTTGCTTTTCTTTTAAGTTCTGAGAATTTCTCTAAGACTTCCTCAGAATTCGAGAATCTGATTTTTTTTAAAGTTCAGGTCAGAACTAACTTTAACATATTTTTTGTATGCAGCATACTCAAGTTTTATTGCTTGATCACCCATTCCTGTAATATTTCTTAACAGTTATCATCAATATTTATGGTAACCATTTGTTCTGCATCAACAACTCTAGCAGTTTTTGTACAGTTTAAAGCTAGTTGATTAAATTTGATTTTGGGACAGTGGATTAGTCAGGTATACGTTACTGAAATTAATCTCAAAATTAAAAGAATGTGAAGTTTCATGTAAATCAAAAATTAAAACTATTAGAATATATAGCAATTATTTTGGCAATTGTAAGTTATGCAGTTTTCTACATTTTGCATAATTTGTAGGGCCATAATAATGACTATTATGTTAGGTGAAAATCATAAAAAAATATTATGATTTGTTTACTAGAAATTCACAAGTGATAAATTATTATTTGATAAATATGAAATAAATACACAGATCATTAATTATTAGTTAACTAGCATTAAAATATGTCTTGTATTTTTCCTTAGGGTATACATTTCGGTACACATCAAATGACAGAAATTTTATGAAAAGATTTGTTCATTTTTATTCATTAATATTTTTAATTTCAATAAAATTGCATGTAATGTATTAATTTTATAACTACAAATTTGCAAATATATGTATGCAATTTTTTGTGTGTATGTTTTTGCTGAATGGAATTTTTACCAGTTAAATCTATCTCACGAATATCATTCTAAGCCTCAAGATTCTGTATCTTTTTTTTCTGAATGCTTACATATTTTTTTCTGGATGTTCTAGTGAATGTACAAATATATCTTCTATGCTATATAATCGATAAATTATATAATCAATAAAGATAATCTTTCAATCTTCTTGATCCTGTACAAATATGCATTGTAACTCTTCAAATTAACAAATTTAAATGTATTTATTATTATTTTAAAATAGAGTAGTGGAATGTCTATGGATAACAGTGAGGATGAGGCAAGTGATTCAGCACTGGTCATTGCCGAGGAATCCAATGACTCTCTCACATCTCGAGGCAAAGGTGCTTTATCTAAGAAGAAACCACCTGTCCAGAGAAAGGAGCCTAATTTCGGCCCTCGTAAAAATGCTCCTCTGAAGAAAAAGCCGGTTATCCGTAATATTGCTACTGCTGCAGCTGCTGCCAAAAAGGATAAACCGGTTCGTTCTATTTGATTTATTTTGAGTTATTATTTATTATGTACCATAGTAAAATTTACTTGTGCACTTATTTTATCTTATAAGTTATTTTAGAAACAAGCAATTTAGGTAATTAGTTTCCTTTTATAAGGCATTTTTATTAGTTTTCTTTTTATTTAAAAGAATACTGATACTGTTTAATAAAATATAAAATTTAAAAATATACATTTAAAAAAATTTTTGTTTACTTTCTCTTTTGTTTACTTAAATGAACAATCCCAATGCTAATTTATTTAAAGCCCTACTTTTATAAAATTTATTATACCTTGTTAAATAAAAAAAAAATAGAGGAAGAAAGTTACAATTTGCTTTAAAATTTTACTCCTATCCTTGATTTTACTCTGTTTCAAACAACAAACATGAAACAAAACTGTATCTATGATTTTTTTTAACTTTATTATAGTCGCTACTTATTTTTAGTAATGTTACTTAAATTTTAATGCTTCACTGTCAGGTAATCAAACTTTATTGTATACAAAGATATGCATCCATTGTCAAACTACTTTTTTCAAAAAAATTTAATTGAAACTAATGTAATAAAAGCTTGAAAATGGTTGGCAACTAAATAATTGAACTAGATTACTCAGCCTTTCATATTAATATATTGTATTAAAAGATTAAAAAAAAATATATGCAAATTGAATAAAAGACTACTGAAATCAAATACATAATATGTCATCTGAATTAATTATCTGATGTTTTATTAAATTTATATATTTATGTTTACTTATATACATATTACAAGCATTGTTATGTTATTCAGAATTAAATGTTAAGGAGTTCTTTTAAAATACTGTTGAGGTATATGTTATGGTGATTTTTGACTATCTTATCGCTTCTTCAATTATTTGTAATTAGTTATTTAATTTTTTTTCCGAACGTTCTGTTTTGTATAACCATTCATATTTTCCTCATTTAAATGATTCTTATTAGCTCAAATAGAGCTTTTGCATTTGAGAAGGATACAGGTTTTTTGGTAAATAATTGTGTGCGATTAATTTGCATATTAATTTTTGTTCACTTTACCTAAATTGTGGGATTGTTTCTTTGTTATTTTTCTGCTCCTTTGTGATGCAGTGAGCTGTCAAATTTTCTGGATTGAGTTACTAATAAAGCCATATGAAACACACACAATTTGCATATATTTTCTGAAAACAATATATGTATTCAGTCATTTTAGTTAAATTATTTCCTAAAAATTCATGATGCGTAGCGTTTTTATAAAGTACTTAAAGGTGCTTATTTTCATTGCATGTTTGTGAAAAGTGTTTAATTTTCTTTTTTTTTTTCAAAAAAGATATTTTTTTCTTTCCTTGGAGGATTGTCGCAATGAATCACGCAATGTTTTCACAATAGTGTCATTCAACAACAATGAGTTTTGACCTACTGACGTCTTTATCTTGCTGAAATGTCAATTGTTATACATGTTGGATGTTGTACATGTTTCCTAGCATGTACATTGAGTTGAATTCTCTGAAAAGATTCCTACAATTACACCTGCAACTCGCTGCATTTTATAAGAGACTCCCAATTTCGGTTTTTATCCCTTACCTTCTGAAATCGCAGGGTCAATCATAAGAATCAGCTTAACATTTCCAAATATTTTTTCTTACACATTTTCTTTCCTTAATAGTTTCTTCATTGAAACCACATTGCATATGTCAGATGAAATATCATGGCCTTCTAGTACTGTTCAATTTTTTAAAATCAGTACCATAATCCTTGAACTTAACTTAGGGATTGTTCACTAATTAAATATTTTCCTTTGGATCCAGTGCAGTCAACAACTCCAAAACTCCACTCCATCTCCCTTTTATTCATTTGATTTAATGAAGTTTAAAATGGTAATAATTTTATAATTGCAGGAGTTTGCTCCTAAGGGACTGTCCACCAATTGTATAAATTATTTTAAGCTTTTTGTTCTTTTGTTTATCACTGAATTTGTTATTGAAATTTTCAGAACTCTTATTTTATGCGAAAAAAAATGCAATAATTTTTTGAGGCAAAGTTTTAAAAAAGTATGAATGCCTTTCACTTATTTAATATTTATAAAATACGGTATTAAATCTGTTATTATTCAAATTTGCCATTTCAAAAAAAAAAATTTCATCTCTTTATTATTTGAGTTTAAAAAAACCTTTGAAATTAACAATTCAATAATCTCAGATTTGTTAAATATTTCAAATATAGTGACCATGAAATAATTTTTATCTGACAAAAATGTTTTGCATTGATATTTTCATTTTAAATTTATTGAAACTTTATTTTAATCACTTGTTTAAAAAAGTATTGAACCAAATTAATAAATTTAATAAAAATTTTATAAGGTGCATCTGCTTTTTTTCATTTGTAATATAACTTTATTTAAATTTCCTTTGTTTGTTGTAATTTTCTACACATCTTAATCAATTTATTATGAAAAAAATATTAATCATATAAAGGCTTTGGTATAGTATACATTTAAAAATAAATTTCATTAAAATCTAAATAATTTGTCCAATAATTTTTTTATAGTTTAACTAATTGTAATTTTAAAATGAAATTTATTTATATATTTTCCAAATTTGAATAAAGTAACTATTTTTTAATTAATGAATGAACAACTCTTTATTGAACATGTTTAACATGTTTTATGGTGGCTAATAAAATCAAGTCGAGAACTTAATGCTAAGTATATGTAGAGATTTCTATAATAGGAAGGGAAAAAAATAAATTATTGGTGCATGATTTTTTCAAAGTGCTATAAATATTTTTTGAGCACTTAAAAAGTGTTTAATTTTTGTTTAAAAAATTGACTATGAATTATGTGTATTAATAATAAATGAAAATATGTGTATAAATGAAATTACAATGAGTTTTAAGTAAAGCACCATCAGAAAAAAAAAGTTTAAATTTACTAAAAAAAAAAAATGTTTTTTTTTTCTTTGTGCAGTGTAACTTTTAAACCTTACTGCAAATTTTCCACAGAACGTAAGAGAAAATATATTTATTACATTCTAGCATCAAAATTACTTAAAATTATGTTTCAAAATAGCTTTTGAAAAACTAATATTATGCTGATATCTTATCTAAAATAACAGTATATGAGTTATGCATGTAAATAAATTCATAAAAATAATAAATGTTTGCTTTCCGCATCATGTTAATTTTAGTGATCAATAAAGCATTTAAATTATTTGATGCATCATACAATGAAAATTATAAATATTATTGTTGTTTTAATAGCCTGGAAAATCAAAACCTCCAACTGCATATACATTATGGTGTATTGAAAATCGCAAAAGGATTGCAGCTGCCTCTGGTGCTATTGGTAAATTATCAAATTCTCTTATGTCAAATTTATGAATAGCTTTAAAATGCATGATTTATTATTCACTCCAGCTTGGACATTTTATTTCATTTAGTGAAATATAATTGTGTTTCAATAAATAGTGCATCTAAGATATTTTTGAGTTTAATTTCTTTTCTTAAAATTTGAACTGTTGGAATTTTTGTATTTAGGTTTTGGAAACATTGGCAAAAAATTGGGAGAGGCTTGGCAAGCATTGCCAGACAAAGAAAAAATGGTATGTTTTTTTCTATGAAAAAATTGTATAAAAATAAAATTACTCTCATCTTGAGAAATGTCACTAACTAGATTTGAGTTTTTGAAAGTTATGCAATAGAATAAAACTTCAATGAAAAACCACTTCCTCAACTAACCACATTTTAAAAGCATCAATTTTTTTACCCAATCAACTTCATGTTTTTTTTTAAAGTCCTCTAAGAGAAACTAAACAATTCTCAATATTAATAGAAAGACAGCTTCATGTTCAAAATAAATCAATTTTGGGTATGAAATAAATGAAAAATATATACCCGAAACAATAGGTTGAGCTTGATCATGCACGTGAGCAAGAAAATTTTTCATCATTACTGGTTGAGAGTGAAATTATATGCTGGGATATTAAAGTTATATGCTGTTTATGGTGAATTATATATTACTGTTTATAGTGAATTATAATGAAATTATATGCTGGGTTTTAAAGGAACGAATGCATAATTTTAACAGCATGTCAAAGATATCTAATCTCATGAAAGGAAGTTAATAAATTTTTCAGATTTACTAGGAATCCAAATCCATAAAATTTTAAAAAGTAAGGTATAAAATTGGAAATGAATTTGAAAGCTTCAGTTTTTGAAAAGGATACTAATGATTGATATTTTCATTAAACTGATCTCTGTCAGTTCAGACAGTGGTCTCTTCCAGGAAATTTCACTGTATTGTATTAATCATAGAAAAAATTATTACTTTACATGCTCTTAAAATTTTTATAGTCTTTACTCATAGCTTTTATGTATCTGTTTAAACTAAGCACTTTATTGACAAATCTTTGTAATTTAATGAACTTATATCTCAATAATTCTGATCAGTCACAATTCATTCTTGTTTATTACAGACTAACATCAATTCTCGGTGACAAACCAGTTACAATTACAGTTGACATTAATGTTTTGTTTTAATAACCCTCATAACCAAAAATGTAGTTTCACATAAATAAGTTTAAGAAAAAGGCAATAAAATCTTCATTGCTTTTGAATAAAGAAGGAGAGTATTCTTTTATAGTTTTTAACCGGAACTGGTAAATTTTCATTTAATTGAATTTGAGCTATTATAAACTCCTAGACTTGATCTAATTTTAATAAATAAATAAAAATTTACTGAACAGTAAAAGCAAGAAACTTTTTTCAAGCTTATATTTATAGCCAATGTTTCATTCTAGGCTTGGAGGAGGAAAGCAAAAAGATTAGCTCTGAAAAATTCTGGAGGTTTGATCACTACTGGACCTGCAAATGGAACATCTCCTAAGAGCACCACACGTTCAACATCCACTGCAAGTGATGATATTTTTAAAGGATTGAGTGAGAGCACAAGGGCTCTTGGAACATCTGCAATCGATTCTGCAGCTTATTTGAAGCTTCTTGGAGACTCTTTGAGTGTTATTGGTCAGAGATTAACTGAACATGAGGTAAAATATTATGTGTTTAAGATTTCAATATAAAGAAATGTGTGGAGAAGAAAATGCTAATTAATATTTTACACTATTAATTAATATTTTACAATAGTATACCTGCAAGTGGCATATTGTGGGTATCTTTGATCCTGATTGGTTGTTGAAACATGGCCTTTGTTTACGTTAGCAATCGTTCTTTCCATTCTATTTTGAGTAAGACAAGCCCGTCAAGTATCTTACGGGCTTGGCTTACGAGGTTAAGGCTCCACAATTTCATAAGCTCCAACATAATGGTGGCAATGTGGTCAACATTATACACCGACCGCCTATACTTTGCAGATAAGCTAGTACCCATTGGTCTGAAGCTGGGTTAAATTCTAGCTACCAACAGGTATCGAACCCCAGTTTTTCACAATGATAGTTCTATGTCTTAAGCACTGAACCAATGCAGCTCAATTTAAATAAAACCCTGTTTAATTTTTAAATGACATTTATTCTTAATAATTTATACCTCATACCAAAATTATTATCTTCAAGCTTTCAAAATTATTATCTTCTTTTATAATAATTATTATATATCACCAAATGGTGATAAAGATATACCATCCAAATTAATAAAATACTTATATATGTAATAAAAAAAATACTTGTATTATTAAGAATTCGCTCTCTTCCAATCACAATTTTTATTCACAGTTTAATTGAATTGTAAAATGTTTTGGTTTTAATCATATTTCATTTATTTTGCAGGGTCAATTAGCTGTGTCAGGAATTTTCTCTGTTCTGTTAGATACAATCCTGTGTGTCGTTGGACCACTTTTATGTCTAACCTCTGAATCACCCGTCTTAAACAGTCTCTCCCAAGATGTGTCCAAAAGGACTTTAGATAGCATTGCTTATTTTATGCCAGGATTGTAAATGATATCCTGTGCTGTATCTTTCTCCATTTTAAATTAACCATCGAGTGCATTGTGTAATAATCATAAATTTGAATTTACAAAATAGTAATGAACTTTCATAGTTTTTTTATTATTATATTATGTAGCATCATAATTATTAATAAATGTATGTATATTTTTCATTTCTGTAATAAAAACCTTGTAATGTTTTATTGCCATTTTTATCATTGAATCAATTCTATTTTTATCATTATTAATACTTTACACATGCTTCTTTTATGTTGCATTTGGTTTTTGTAGGCTCCTGTTTGCTTTTAGCAATGATAATATACAATTAAATAAAAAATGTATTGCACAGCTGCCTACTCTACTGGATTTTCCAGTGGACTACTGAATTCTGCTAGTTTCTATTGGTTTAATAAAAATTCTCCCGGTTTTTGTACATTTTAGAAAACTCCCTAAAATTGAGTAAGTTTCTTAAAAAAATTCCTATTGAAATAGAATTTTTGCACGGATTATTGCTTGCTTGAATATTTAAATAAGTATTAATAATATATAATGAAGCAAGCCTCGATCATTCATAGAAATCAGTTTAAAACTTTTTTTTGTTATAAAATGTTTAATTAATTTTTATTCAAACTCCCTTTTTAAATTAATTAAAGAAATTTAAATTTTTTTATGAATTAAATGCCTATTAATATTCACAATTAGGAGTAAACACAATATACAACATTTCAAGCATATTTGATGACTATAAAAATCCCTATGTGTAACATATTTAGTGCATTATGCAACAATTATCATAAAATTTGTATTTCGTAAAATCTACTGGATTTTTTCCTATCTATGTTGGCAGCTACGATATTACTTAACTAATAAAATTTTCTAATTAAAAAAACAAAAATATTTATCCTATTAAAATGTTTTTTACTGTCGGTTATCAAGTATGCTTTTTTTTACTTGCATTGAAATCGAAAAACAATGCATTTCTAATATTATTTTTAATTTATTTATTTTGCAAGAGAAAAAGAGAGGCTTGCTGCATGTCTTTTTAAAAATTACTCAGTTTTATGAATTAAAAATTTATTGCTTTGTTTCAAGATAAAGGAAATTAAACAGATAACCACAACATCTGATGTAGTCTTTAAACTTTTTCCTGATACATTCAATATACTGTTACAAGATACCCAAAACCAGATTTTTCTTCTGTTAATGGCTTTTAGTTCAAAGTCAATAACGACATTTTATTACTTATCATCAAACATAACAAATCTTCATTCAAAGAGAACTTAGTTTTCACAAACCACAGTGTATGTGGCATGGCCTTATGAAGAAAAAAAAAAAATTGTTACCTGATCGAAGTAGGTTGTTTCATTTTATGACAGGTGTGAGGTGTTTAGTTTAGTGTGAATATAAAAAACAAAACTAACACTGATAAAATACAAAAAAATAATAATATTTTCATTTTATCTATCATTATTCATAATGTTTCCTATGATTTTGTTTTGTGAGTTTATTTGTACCAACTGGAAAATAGCTTTCCATTAAACCTATTATAAGATGTACTAACTTGTTTCTAAAGCAACCAACAGTAAGGGTTTTTCTCCTGATAGTCAATTAACAGTACTTTTATAAACAGAGTGGATTGAATAAAATAAATGTTTGAATTTTAAAATGCTTTACTGCAGAAAAGTTGTGCAGTATAATAAGAATAAAAAGATCAAAAAAAATGTTTTAAATCAGTTACTATCTTCTTTTTGCGCATCATAATTAAAATTAATGAAAGCTTAAAAAGATTGTGCCTTTTTAATTTTTCAAGTTGGCTAAAACTTTGAAATAAACAAGCTTTAATTTTTTATGCTTGTTTGTCTCTAAATAAATTCTGATCATCAATTTCATTTTTTAAAATATTTTCAACGTTTAAAAAAGAAAATTGGAGATTATTCAATTTTTACTCTTCCTTCATTATGTTAGATCACATCAACCCAAAACTCACCCCATGAAAATGATTGCACATTGAGTTTCATCTACACTGCACCAACCAACCAATTTTTCGGTGGGGTATTTACTGCTAGATACAAAGATTTTCAATGAAGTCTTTGTTCTGCACTGTTTATTTTAAAAGTATGTAAAGATGTTATAAAAACTAAAAAGTTTGCATTAAATTGCACAAAGCTTAAAAAGTAAAATTTGGCATCTGCAATAAAACTTAAGAATGGAATGCAAGGAAAATTCTGAAAGAAAAGAATTACTCATAATATTATACAGTATAATATAATTAATACAAAGCAAAAATTAAGATTTGAACTACTCAAATTTTTATAAATGATTAAAAAATGAATTAATTTATCAGAAAATGTGAAATCGTCTGACTAAATCAACTACCATAAATCAAGGTAAAATGAAGCAAACTAATAGAAGAAAAGTAAAGTATTTTATTATTATTATTTTGTGTGTCCACATAAAAATTTTATTTCCAGCCAAATCTGTAATAACCTACTAATTTAATAATCTTGACAATCCAGCCCAATTTATTATAAACTGCTGTTTGTAGAAAATGCAACACCATGAAAGAATCATCAGAATCAAATGAAATTTAATGCAGAAACGACTTGTACTGATACAAATAAATGATGAAATTTTCAAAACAAAAGAAACAAATTAAGCGTCCGAAATCAGTATTTGGTGCAGCCACCACGCGCTGCAATAAGTGCTGCTATACGACGTGGCATGGAGTCAAACAGATGTTGAATATCTGCTTGAGGAAGAGAATTCCATATCGCTTGTATGCGCAACCAAAGTTCGTCTTTGGAAACTGCAGGACGCGGATCACGAGTGAGACGCCGACCAACCATATCCCACACGTNTTTTCAATAAATAGTTAAAATATATTTTTAAAAATACGGTCAGACCTCGATATAAGGTCACCCTAAGGGACATCGCAAAAGTGACCTTATAAGCGGGGTGACCTTTTAACCGATTCATTAGCAGTTCGCCACTAAGCACGTAAATAGTACACATTATAACTTTTTAAAAATGGTAATACAAACGAAAACGATCGGCCATAAATTAAATATTTAAGTCAATAAATTTTAACAGAACTATTAAAGAATTAAGGAAAGTTAGATTTTTAGAAAAAAATTTAATTTAAAATACAAAATTTACAAATTTCTGTCTAACACTGTTTACAAATTTCTTCAAAGTGTACATGCATACCGTATTTAAAATAATCATTTATGCAGGTCTGTCTCGTTTTTGGTTTCATTTTTCGAACAATGTTTTCTAGATTTTGTAACTCCTCAAAATGTTCCTCAGCTCCTTCATGGTTTGTAAAAAAATTTTGTATGACATTTATTGCATTGAAGGCTTCCACTTTGGTTACAGCTACAGTCTCAGGATCACTGTCATTGTAATCACTGCCCACAACTTGTGAAACAATATCAGAAATTGTAGCTTGTTCGTTAGCTGCAACATTTTCCTAAAACTCAAGAGGGGTAACTGGCTTGTAAGGAAGTTAAATAGGCTTTTGTAAGAAAAGAGCTTCCCTCGCCTCAGATAAAATGACCTTATAAGTGACAACGATTTTTAAAACTTAACCATATATCTGATAATCTGTAACAAAGAATTCCTATTCAGTGAGCCGGGACTTCAAGAAAAGTGACCTTATATGCGGATGACTTTATATCGAGGTCTGACTGTATCTTCTTTTGGTGCATCATAATTAATAAAAAATTAAAAAAGATCATACCTTTTTAAATTTTTTTTAAAGTTGGCTAAAACTTTGAAATAAACAAGCTTTAGTTTTTTATGCTTGTTTGTACCTAAATAAATTCTGATCAATAATTTCATTCATCAAATTGGAGATTTACAAATTTTTACTCTTTGTTCATTATGTTAAATCAGATCAACCCAAAACTCACCTCATGAAAATGATTGCACATTGAGTTTCATCTACAATGTACCAACCAATTTTTTGGTGAGGTTTTCTACATTACATTTATTGCTAGATACAAAGATTTTCAATGTGAAGTCTTTGTTCAGCACTGTTTATTTTAAAAGTATGTAAAAATGTTATAAAAACTAAAAAGTTCGCTTTAAATGCAAATGTTAAAAATATTGCACAAAGCTTAAAAAGTAAAATTTGGCTTCTGCAATAAAACTTAAGAATGGAATGCACAGAAAATTTTGAAAGAAAAGAATTACATTTAATATCATGCAGTGTAATATAATTAATATGAAGCAAAAATTAAGATTTGAACTACTCAAATTTTTATAAACTATTAAAAAATGAATTAATTTATCAGAAAACGTGAAATCGTCAGACTAAATCAACTACCATAAAACAAGATAAAATAAAGCAAACTCAATAGAAGAAAAGTGAAGTACTTTATTATTATGTGCCTGCACATAAAAATTCCTCCCCCCCAGCCAAATCTGTAATAACCTACTAATTTAATAATCTTATGATTGACAACCCAGCCCATTTTATTATATATAAAGGAACTGAAATTGAATTTCAAACTTTAGAACAGCCTCTTGATAATAAACCGAATAATACAAAAATGTTAGAGAGGGTACATTTTTGCCTGAATTCATAACTTTAAGTATTAGCTGCAATTTTACAAATATTAAATTATCCTTTCGACCTTGAAATCATCTAAGTACCCGAAATCTAAATATTGGGTCAAATATTATATAGATTTTTTTTTAAATGGAGAGTATAATATTACTGTAGGTAATTGCTAATATTCCAATTAAATAAAAAAAAAAAATATTTCAAACCAGTTTTTAATGACATTAACAAATACCAAAATACAAAACAATGGAGAACATTAACAACAGTTTTTTTAATGCATATACAAGAAATGAACAAATGCTTAATGACTGAAAAATAAATCTTGCATAAAAACAATTTCCTCATTTATTTCCAATTTTCATATCTAATTTTTTTTAATGCCTAAAATAAAAAATTCAAGAGAGTAAACTTCTGTATTTAATAAGTCTTCAACAAAAAAAGTATGTGATTTTGAAAAAGCAATAAAAGGGCTTACATATTTATCATGATTCAATTAATTCTTCACTGATAGATGGTTACTTTATCTGCTAAGATTGGACAAAACAATAAACATTTTAAAAGCACAATTCCTTACGTAATTTTATACAATCACAATGATTTTTATACATCTTATACAGAGCAAAAATACCCGGGCAATAGTATGTGATGTTTATATAGACTTACGATCTCTATACATAGTGAAGAAATCTTCAAACAAAATTATATTAACTCAAACGAATTATATTTATATTAAGCTTTTTTTTAAATAAAATAATTCAAAATTATAATGCACTTATCAATATATAGATTAAGTTTGGTTTTTGACATGACACGTCAAAAAGTGTCATAAATTATCAAAATCGGTCAAAAACCTGGGATAAGTTTCTTTTTTGACATTGGAGACATCTTTTTAGATACTTAATCTTGGACAATACCTACATTATATACTACTATAAGTACAATTTATATTATGTATCACACATAAAAAATATTCCCAAAATTATTGAAACTATTAATTGGTTTTTCAAATGGTAATCTCAAGATTTTGAGACCCATATTATAAATATTTGGTTTATATTACAGGTAATAACTATGAGCTATTAATTATAATCAATCTAAATATTAATTTTAAATCTTTTATGCCACAATTTAGGCAGATTTTTTTAGATTAAATAAAACTAAAGCAGTTGCCTTACCTCTACTTATGAAATTTTTTGTTTGATTCGCAATATTAGTTATTACTTATAAGCAGGGGAGCAAAATATGTTGGATTGTGCAAATGAGGTTTCGAAAGAAATTCAGGCAACCTTAGGGAAATTTTTATTCTAAAAAAATTCCAACCAAATTCCTTATTGTTAAAAAATGTGTCACTTTACAAAATCTTTCCTTATAAAAAAAACATGTAAATTTTTTTATAAGGTTAGTTATAATTCCACTGTTAGTTAAAATATATTTCTACTGTTAGTTATAATTCCTTAAGTAGAACCTTAATTTTAATTTAATAAACTATTATTATTTCAATATATATTTTTTCTATTATTTTATAACACATAGGCTTGTTTATTCAAGAACTATGTAAAATCAAATGAGTATTTTTCTTATATAAACTTTATTGTCTAAAAATACTTTTAGATTACTAGTGAACTAATTGAGTTTACAAAAAATATAATGTTTATTTAAATGAGTTAATTATTTTTACAATCAATCATTCAAGAGTATAATTAAATTGCAATTAATATTTAGTATAGTTATTAGAATAAATTTTCTAGTTACATGTTATTTTATTAAGTTATGCTAAGTAAGCTTTAGTACCTCTATGCAACTCAGCATCAATCGAAAGAATAGTTCAGAATTCAGATCGTAGGAGTCAAAATGAGATTAAAAGTAAATGAAAATTGATTTTACATCTAATAAATAAGATGATTGTTGAGTGTTTTTTCTTTTAATTGATTGTTTTCGTATTTTTATTTTCAATAATTTAACAGATTGGAAAAATTCTACACATTTTTAGTTATAATTATTTAATAATTTCTAAATCAAAATTTGGGATTTTGACAGTAATTGTTAAAACAAAAAGAGTTTAATATCAAAGTAATAAAGAACATAATTGATAAATCACTTATTATTTTATGTGTACGTTTATTTATAAATACTTCTTATTTATAATAGCTAATAATTATCCTTACGTTAAAATTTTGAGTTTTTGACACTTGCCAAAAACTATGTCGAAATGGGGTTTTTGATGTTACAGATGAAACCAAGGTTAAAACCGTCAATGGTCAAAAACTTACTATAACTGATAATGACTGTATATTTGTGTATTAATATGAGAATCATCAGTATTTCATCTCCATTTTAATGCTGCAATTCTATTCTATATTATTTAACCTTAGTAGGTACTTAACAATAAAACATTCATAAACTTGCACTCAATTCATACATTGTATCCTGAAATTTGTTAATGCACTTACAATAAATATATATATAAAAGTAAGAAGTTAGGCTTCCCTAATTTAGTGGTTCCTAACCCTCTTAGTTGTGCAGATTACCATCTTCGAAAAGAAAATAATAAAATTATAAGGCTTTCTAATCATTATATATACAAGTAAAAAATATAATGACAAATAAATATCTATTATATATGTAGAGCAAATATATATAATGTGAATATATCTATGCCCTTTTTCTCAATAGGACTAGTGAATTGTCCTAGAAAAACTGGTATTATATCCCAAGATACATCTTGATTTAAACTCTCAATCAGTGATTATAGCCCGGTACTACGCTGCTCACGAGTTAAGAACTGTTATCTTAATGTAATATATTTAAGTCAGGTTTATAGTTATATTGTAGAATAAATATTAAGCAATAATTAACTATGAATATGGTTGGTAAATGTGAAATTAAAAGAATTTGAAAAAATTAATGAAACAGTTTATTTCTACATTGTGATTTGTTGCGTCATCCATAATTGCCAAGGAGGAAATAAATTTTTAATTTGAAATTTTTTCTTTTAAAAAAGGCATGTCAATATTTGCCTTGGGGGGGGGGTTGCTATGAGTAATACCTTTTGAGTATGCCCCTTTCTATAATGTTTATTTTTTTCAAAGTTTCTCGCTGGACGCTGCCCAAATCTTCTGTCACAAATCAGGAAACGTAAATCTTCCCCTAATGAAATTTTTTTTAAAAAAAACTTACAGCACCCCAAATTATAGATATTGAAACCATCTAGATATTCTTATCTGAATGGTAATTAGATTCACATTGGAGTTTTGGTGCTTTTTTGTTATCCTGGCACAGGTAATATCACCCATTTTATTTTATTTACATATTTTTAAAACAAAACAAAATGGTCGTCTCCTAAAACAAATAAATTAATAATTGAATTTACTAGGGCCCAACTAACCAAATTTCTAAGACACATTTTCATATTTCCATTAGGCTCAGACACATTCAACTCTGACAAACGAAGACATTTTAGAGTCAAAACAACTCAAAATACAACAAAAAATACAACTTCAACAAATGACATTTTCATAATTAATCAACAAATTTCTTTGATTAATTACTAAATATTTAGTCAAAATTACGGAAATTGTCACAAAGATCCTTTTGATCAAAATGATAAGCTATGATGGTGATGATCATGTTCAATGAGATCAATAACTTATCATCAGGACTTGACAAGCTATCCCGAAATCTACAACAATGCTTTGATAAGTTGCGCAAAAGAGAACAGGTGTTAGGATCTAAAGGTTTTTCCAAACAAACCAACAAAGCATATATCCACTTCCCCACTTGGTGGCTGAAGTTAATATCATCCAACCACGTATCAAAATACGACAATAACTTTTTGATTCTATTTTGATCCAAATGGGCCATCACGCTGAGAAATGGTAGGTGAACATCTGTACTCAAACGAGACCTTTTTGCTTGGGGGCCTGATTTTTCGGAATCTGATATTTCTGAAGCAGTATCATCACAGTAGACTTTTTTGTGGCATTCAACTCCCAAGCAATATAAACACCATTCCTCTGCTTGGTTAATTTTGGGAACAGGACGACGGCGGAACTTTTCCTTTAGAGCGATTCGGTTTTCTGTCATGTGCGTCTTATGGGAGCGAAAGTCATCCATCACCAATTCTTGCCAATCTGGATCCGGTTCGTAACCAGGACGCGCGGCAATAAAACCGCTATAAATATCCACCTGGACAGTTTGTTTGTTTATAAACTGCGCTGTATCGATGTTTGCCACAACAACTTTAGGACACTGTCTAGTTTCTAAACGCACTCTGTAGAGATAATCCATTCCTGTTGTCGGATTGGAATTCAGATCAATATCGTCAGGGTCGATATCATCGAGAGCAAAAGCCCGTTTCAAATACGGATCACTCATGATTTTAAACGTCTGCAATCACCACTTATTAAAAATCATTTAAACAAAAGGAAAAATCTCTCTGGTCATTCAGGAAATGTAATGTCAACAAGAAGCTGTGCATTAACAACGATGAAATGTTATTAACAGTTAAATGTACTAAGCTTTTAGCTCAAGGATATATAAGGATAAGTTTTGTCGCCATCTATTGACCACCAGGGAAAGAATTTATAAATATATTAATTTTATATTAAATTCAAACGTTTTTACTATATAAAAAAATTGGATATTATGATATATTGTCGTTATATGTTATAATGCAATTAAAATTTAATCCAATTATTTCAAATTATAATTATTATTATCTAAATTATAATTTAATTTAGTGTAAAAGATTTCAATGAAAATGTTTAAAGGTATTTAAAGGCTTTAAAACAGTTACGCAAATGAAAATTAAAACAAGACTAAAAAAAATGTTTACATTAGAACGCGGGGAAAGCTTTCGAATTTATATTTAAACAAATAGCTCTCTTTAAAATGACTATGGAATTTAACACCTCACAAGAAATAATAACGATATTATTATTATATAATACGATATTATTATATATACTATATTATTATTATTATCTAATAATAATATCGTTATTATTTCTAAATAACGATATTGTTATTTCGAAATATCGTTATTTTTTCTATAAAGATATAACCGATAAGTGTTTACTATTGTTAATGCAGCTTTTATATGTAAACTGGCTTAATATGTAAACATACAAAATGCAAAAATTTAAAAAATAAATTACCCCGAGGAACTTTAAATTTATTTTTTAACATTTGCATGCATTTTCAATGTTTCCTTCTTTAAGTAAACAGATCACTATTTCCTTCTGAGTAGTAATATTTTCTGAGAAAGGTATAATAATTATATTAGATCTAAATGTATTAACAAATCTCAACGTAGCGGAGAATAAGATAATCAAGTACTTTTAAATTTGCTTGGAGGCTTCGATTGCCGAAACCTTGGTTACTTCTCATTCGTCGCTTTCCCCCTTTCAAAGTTGATAAAAATTATGCTTATCAAATAAATATTTATTACAATTTTACGTGCGAACATTTTGTTGATTGGTTAATCGTAAAAAAATAAACGATTATCTAGATTTGAAAAATAATCAACTGTTCTTAAAGAAATGGCTCAGAAATATAGAAATAACTTTATAAATTAAAATTTCATAATAAATAAATAAATACTCTCCTTATAACTTCGTAAATGAAAATTGCCCTTTTAGCGAGTCAATTTTCAACTTTATAGTTGCATTTTAGTGAGCTGTAGATCGAGCTGTATGGTCTTTTCTTTTTGCCAAGACGTTTAAGAATTGTTAATTATCGAGCTAATAATTTAATCGTTTACTTTTTTTCTTATTCTAACGTATGCCTTGTACATTTTCCGATGCACCTTTATAATTTTAAGATTTTGAGTGCTTATAGTTTTTTAGAAACAAAGTAGTGTACTGTAAAGTAGAAAAAAAAAAAAAACTTGTCTATGTTCAAAAACAAAAATAACCCATACAGCACGTTACATTTTAACTCTATTGCTTCTTTATTTCTGCAGAGTGATCCGCAGGATATTTTTTACTAAATGATTAACAGTTAATTATAATTCTTGAATAACGAAAGTTATTATTATTTTTTTTTACATCGTACTTTATTACATTTTTCCCACACCATCATAACAATTTTTTAATATAGATAGAAAAACATTTTCAAATATAATTTCTAACAATTGCCAAGCGATTGCTAGAAATTCTTTGACAATATATCCTTATTAACATTATGTTGTTTGCGACAATACAATCCACAGGGTCATTTCGTCGACTGGGTCATTTCGTCGACTGGGTCATTTCATCAACAGGGTCATTTCGTCGGCATGGTCATTTCATCGACAAGGTCATTTCGTCGACAGTGTTATTTCATCGACAGGGTCATTTTGTCGAAAATTTGTAGAAAAGGTTATGTCTTAGGCAAAGTCATGCGTAATGTTGAAACTAGTTTTATGATTTTTACATTAGACGTTATGACCCTTGCACTTCTTTGTAATTTAGTATATTTGTGTTGAAATTTTTTAAACCCAGCCTGATGCAAAATCTTAATAGTATGTTGAAGTAGCCAGAAAAGAAGTATTTTATTTGAAAATTGCCTACTCCTCTATTCACATCATGTTAAAAAAACGAAACATTTTTTACATTTGGGTTGTAATTGCATTTTACACATTTAAGTTGTATATTATAAAATTTTTTTCCAGTTATATTTAACACATTTATTTCTAAGTATAATTTTTAATGTACATTATTATAGATTAGCATCGCAAAAGCAATTGCAATAACTATTGTGAATGATTCTTAATGTAGGGAGTGAATGAAGGGTGAAATTAGCAAGGAAAAAAAGACAGTATATAATGAATCTGTGAGATAATGAAGTCACGTGGTCGATAAGTTATTCCATTGACAAGGTCTTTCCGTTTACAGGCCATTTCAGCTGCAAAAATTCTCTGTCACTAAAATAAATAAAAATTATACTTATATGTATAATGTTCCCCACAATGAGTTCCCCACATGTATAATGTTCCCCCAATACACATTAATACAGTTTGAAATCTTGTCAAAATAAATAAATAAGTAAATAAAAAAGAAAAGGAGCAAACTTTTACAATGATATCAATGGTGGTGATTACAAGGAATTTAATCAGAAAAACACAAATGTTTTAGATAGTTAACTAGTAAAATTACTTCTTGTTTTATCAAACTTTATATATTTATTTCTTCAAGCTCAGTTGATTTTTTTTTTCATACGCTAGTAATCATTAATTTTGTTACTTTTGACATAGTAACAATATTTTCTTACATAAAATTTCAATATTTATATTATTTTCTCTTTAAAAAAATATCGATGTAGGGAAAAACAACCTAAGATGTATGAGTGGCTATAATGTAGGTAAGATGTATTGGTATAGATGTGTATAGATGTATTGGTAAGTTTTACCAAATTTAGCAAGGGGCGGAACTTCCTAGTATTATAAAAATCTTGAAAAAAAATGCATGTGGGAAAAAATAAAATGAAAATCCAACTTGGAAAACATGTTGGGAAATATTGTTGATAAAAAAATTTGTTCTAACCCTCTTCCTTATGTATTTGTCAGCTGTGCTGCTGAAGAGGGAAGTTTCTGTCAATTCTTGTGAAATTTACTTTTGTGAAATTTAAATGAATTATTATTTCAAACAAAAAACTTGTTCTCACATTGCCAGTTTATTTTATTTCTTATTTAATTAATTATTTATAACGTTTTAATGATTAATAGTTTAATATGTATTTTATCCTATGTGTTCCCCAAACATTTATAAGCTCTTTTATTTTATAAAACAGACACCGCCAATGTAGAAAAAAAAGAAAAAAAACTCAAAATGACTCCTCGTACTCGGTGTGCGATGCAATCGAAATGATCGTGTAAAAAATGGTTCCAAATCATAGGAGGTGAGGAAGCCTGTCCAGTTGGTTTTTATGATTTAAAACATTTAGGAAAGAAAAAAAAAACGCAACTATTTACGATATAACAAATATCAGGTTGAGTAAAAAGTTTTAAACCATTTTGCAATCCTGTAAAATGATTTAATGATTAAATGATTGTTACAATCCTGTAAAATGATAAATAGATAGAAAATCAGCAAAGTTAATGAGGATAGTAATCTCCATTCAAATCAACAATAGTCTGTAAACGTTTTGGCAACTTTTCAATCCCTTCTGCGAAGAACTGGGGGGTGCGCGAGTCCAGAAAGCGATCAACCTCATTTATGACCTCTCTATTTGAACGGAAGATTGTGCCATCAAGATGCAGCTGCAGATGTGAAAACAGATAGTAATCCGAAGGTGCCATGTCTGGATGTATGGTGGATGTTGCATCAAATCCCACTCCAGTGTGTAGAGGGTCCAGCCGGTCATTGCACTGACATGTGGCCGGGCGTTATCTTGATGAAAGAGAACCACCTTCCTTCTGATCTCGTTTTTTCGTTTTTCGCGAATGGCATCGCTAACATTGATTAGCATATTGCTGTATATTGTACTGTTGATAGCCTGCCCGCTTTTCAGGTTCTCCTTGTAGATAATTCCACGACAATCCCACCAGATACAGCGAAGGACCTTCTTGTTAGTTAGCGTTCGTCTTGCAAACGAACCTGCTGATTCCCCGGGTGCTGACCACCCTCCTTTACGTCTAGTNAAACCTAGCCTGATGCAAAATCTTAATAGTATGTTGAAGTTGCCAGAGAAGAAGCATTTTATTAGAAAATTGCCTACTCCTCTATTCACATCACGATGGAAAAACTTTTTTTATATTATGTGTTGTAACTGCATTTTACTCATATAAGTTGTATATTACACATTTTACTCATTTAAGTTGTATATAACACATTTTTTTTTCTAGTTATATTTAACACATTTATTTCTAAGATTAATTTTTAATGTACATTATTATAGATTAGCATCGCAAAAGCAATTGCAATAACTATTGTGAATGATTCTTAATGTAGGGAGTGAATGAAGGGTGAAATTAGCAAGGAAAAAAAGACACTATATAACGAATCTGTAAGATAATGAAACCACGTGGTCGATAGGTCAATTCATTGACATGGTCTATCCGTTAACAGGCCATTTCAGCTGCAAAAATTCCTAGTCGATAAAATTAAAAAAAATAATAAAAGAAAAAAAAATATATATATATATAAAAGAAAAGGAAAAGGAGCAAACTTTTACAGTGATAACAATGGGGGTGATCACAAAGAATTTAATCAGAAAAACACAAATGTTTTAGACAGCTAGCTAGTAAAATTACTTCTTGTTTCATCAAACCTTTATATATTCCCTGTGTTATATATTTATTTTTTCAAACTCAGCTGATATTTTTCACATGCGAGTAATAATTAATTTTGTTACTATTGACGTATTAACAAAATTTTCTTACATAAAATTTCAATATTTATATATTTTCTCTTTAAAAAAAATATCGATATCGGGAAAAACAAACTAAAATGTATGAGTGACTGTTACGAAAGATTGTAAGCGAAGTGAG